ACACATTGTTGTATATGTTTTTTACAATGTATTCATATGAATTCTTTTTTGTGATCATTTTATAATTTCATATCAATACTTATTTCTTTTAAACGTCATAATCATTTAAGCATACTATAAAGCTCATTTATGGACAATCCACATTACCACATATCTAATTATACTCAACTTAGTATAAATAAAAACATCTAAAATTTGTTTAAATTGTAGAAGTAGAATAACGTTAGAAAAATCTAATCGTAACAATAACTATTTTGAAATAATCATGAGTATTGTATATTTCAATATTTTATACAAATGCAACAAGTGATAAAATATTCAATCAAAAAAGAAATTAACATTCACTTTGTCTTTTTTTTCGAATAGTAGTTTGTGTGCATTCATATTTTTTTGGACAATTCTTTCTAACGTATATAGTATCCGCTCAATGTTTATGTCAACATCCTTGAACTATGATGAGATTCGAACCTGTGACCTCCTCCTTAGGACTGTTACAGTGATGCCATCAGACCACAAGGTACTTGGCTTGTGTACATTCATATTATGAATCAATTTAGAAAATTGAAGCATTGATGAAGCGTTAATGAAGCATTGGATCAATTTTGAAATCAGATTGCATCTCATTTAACATTTTCGGAATTGACAAGATTCAATTTTAGAATCACCATACAATTTAAGAATTGTAAATATTAAGAATTGTAAATATTAAAGTAAAACAGAAACAAAGAAAAAAATGAAAAGTTGGTCCAGGTGGAAGAGGTACTGGAAGAAGATGCATGAGAAAAGAGGTACTTGAAGAAGATGCATGAGAAAAGAGACCCGCATGTGCCAGTTTGATATTGTAACAGGAGCTTAACTCAACTGTTAATCAGGCAGATCAAATAACAAGAGTCATACTCCATTGTTATAAGAATGAAAAGAATTGAGAAGGAAACACAGAATGTAAATCGGGACTGCTTTATTCAATGGTTCAGAGGTTTATTTATACAAGATGTAGCCAACTACCTCTAACCGACCTTTAACTATCTGTTAACAGAAAACTATATATCGGTAAACACCAACTGCTAGCTACTAATTACAAAGTCAAAGCAAAGTCAAAGCTCCTATAACAATCCTCCCCCCTTAGAAGATAAGACTTGTCCTCAGGTCAATCATATGAACCATTAATGTCAAAGTCAGGATATTGCTCCATAATAGACTGCACAGATTCCCAAGATACTTCTTCAGCTGAAAACCCCTTCCATTTCACCAGCACTTGTCCTTGCACCTTGTTTTGAAATTTAACACTCCTTTCCAAAATCTTTTCTGGTTGAGGTAATACTTCTCCATTTTGACCCTTAAACCAAGCTGGGATATGAGTAGCCATAGGCAATTCTCCTCTGAACTTCTTAAGTTGTGAAACATGGAATACATCATGTATTTGTAAATCTGCAGGTAACTTCAATTTATAGGCCACCTTCCCTATAACTTCCTTAATCTGAAACGGACCAAAGAACTTAGATGCTAGCTTCTGATTATTCCTTTGCTGCACAGATTGCTGCCTGTATGGCTGCAACTTTAACCACACCCATTCTCCTATGGTAAACACCCTTTCAGTTCTTCTTTTATCTGCCATCTGTTTCATTCTTGCTTGAGCTCTATTAAGATTCTCTTTTAGCCTTTTGATCATCTCTTCTCTTCTATGCATTGACCTATCCACAACATCAATATTGGACTCTCCTGGTAAGTAAGGCAGATATAAAGGAGGAGGTTGGTTGTATATAACCTCATAAGGAGTCATTCCTGCAGATGTCTGATAGTGAGTATTAAACCACCACTCTGCTAAAGGTAGCCATAAACTCCATTCCTTGGGATTATTGCTGCACATGCATCTCAAATATACTTCCAAACATTGATTCACTCTTTCTGTTTGACCATCAGTCTGCGGATGGTAAGCAGATGACAAATTGAATCTGGTTCCTTGTAAAGAAAATAACCCTTTCCAGAATTGACTCAAGAAAAATGCATCTCTATCACTCACAATACTCTTGGGCCATCCATGTAGTTTGAATATATTGTCTAAGTAAACTTGAGCTACCTCAATTGCAGTAAAGGGGTGAGATAGGGCCACAAAATGAGCACCTTTACTAAGTCTATCCACCACAACCAATATCACCTCCTTCCCTGATGAATTAGGTAATCCTGAGATAAAATCTAATGAAATATCAATCCATACTTCTTCTGGCACTGGTAGAGGTTGCAGCAAACCCGGATATGCCACATTTTCACTCTTGTTTGCTTGGCAAATCACACATTGTCTAATATAGTTGTTGACTTCCTTGTTGAGGCCCTTCCAATAGAAAAGTGTTTTGATTCTCTTTAGTGTTGCATCCCTTCCTGCATGACCTGCTTCCCCTGAAGCGTGATGCCAATCTAGAACCTTATTTCTTAAAGCTGCTTCATTACCAATTACAATTTTTCCCTTTCTTCTTAGTAAACCATTTTTTAAAGAATATTTGTCAACTAATTGATTCTGTTGCATCCTTTGAATGATTGTAGATAGGTGCCCATGTCCAACATAACTATCTTTGATGCATTGTTCTAAATCAGAAGCTATTATTGATACAGCCATGCAAAATACTTCAACTCCCTGAACCCTGGATAATGCATCAACCACTAGATTTTCCTTTCCACTTCTATATTGGATTTCATAGTCAAATCCCATGAGTTTGGACAACCAAAACTGTTGGAATGGAGTAGATACCTTCTACTCTAATAACCACTTTAGACTTTTTTTGTTCTGTTTTAATGATAAAATGCTGAGAACTCAAATATTGCTCCCATTTTTGTACAGCAAAGACTATGGCTAATAATTCCTTCTCATATACAGATAATTTTTGCCATCTAGCTCCCAATGATCTGCTTATAAAAGCTAAATGATGATTATCTTGCATTAAGACTGCACCAATTCCTTCATTGGATGCGTCAGTTTCTACTACAATGATTTTAGAAAAATCTGGCAGTGCAAGAACCGGAGCAGTGCTTAAAGCCAACTTTAACTTCTCAAAAGCTTTTTGTGCATCATTACTCCATGAATAAGCCCCTTTTTTTAGTAAGTTGGTTAATGGTTTGCTGATAACACCATAAAACCTTAAACAATCTTTCTATAATATCCAGCTAGACCAAGAAAACTCCTCAACTGTTTTACTGATTTGGGTTCAGGCCAATTAGTAATTGCTTCCACTTTCTTAGGGTCAGTTTCTATTCCAGCTCCAGATATGAAATGTCCCAAATATTCCACCTTAGGCAAGGCAAAATTGCATTTAGAAGCTTTAGCAAACAACTGATTCTCCCTCATTATCTGAAACATCATCCTCAAATGTTTCCAATGATCCTCCAAATTCTTGCTATATACAAGTATGTCATCAAAGAACACCAACACACATTTCCTTAACAATGGCTTGAAAACTGCATTCATCCAATTCTGAAAAGATGCTGGTGCATTTGTTAATCCAAAGACATTACTAATGCTGGTCCAATTCATAATGTCCTTCATGCGTTTTGAAAGCTATTTTAGGAATATCATCCTTATTCATCCTCAGTTGATGATATCGGAGTAATTATTCATCCTTCATAATGTGCTTAAAAAATTTAAATAACTAATACGGAGTAATTATTATTGTTATAACTAAGTAAAATACGTAGTAATTGGATAGTTAATATTGAAGTAGTTTTTTTGGCAAATCCTTCTAATCTATTATAGTATCCGTTCTCTTAAGACAAACATCCTTGAACTGGGATGAGATTCAAATCTGTGACCTCTTTGGAAGTGTCACAATGATATCATTAGACCACAAGGTACTTGGCAATATTGAAATAGTTATAAATTAGATTGTACTAATCTAAAGTTTAGTATTTAAAATAATTGGGAGGAGGTTATCAATAATAAATTGATACTTTGCCTCAAAGTGTCAAATGTCAAAACCTCAAGAGAGGTATATATTTAAAAATAAGTAACCCTTTGATTGTCTATATGCTCAAAATGAATAATATAGTATGTGTTCTCAATTTACATGTAAATTGAAAAAAAAAAAAAAACTAGATGGAAATAGACAAATAATTTGGTTTTGAGTCCGTTTGGTAACCGTGTTTTTCGGCTTATCAGACTTATCAGTCAACTTTTTTACCAAACACACTTTTGATTTCGCGCGCTAAATTGCGTAATAATAAGAAAAAGTTTGGAATTACTTTTCTGATTGCATTGATTGAAGTTACTGTAGAGGATCATTGAGCTACCCCATGTCGTTTGTTAAAAATAAACGTAATATATATAGTTATATACTTATATTTCAGATTATTGATGTAACGTTAAAAACTATTTCTAATCGTAAAATAAAAATGATTCTAAAATATAAAACTATAATAATAACGAAAAAAATTATAAAACAATAATAATGTAACAAATATTAAGGTTTTCACAAAATCCAAAATGTATTTGGAATTACATGGACAAATATGTAAAATGTTAAAAAATAGTATAAATATAAGTGCTATATATTTTCAATAATTGAATAGATAAATCATTGGTACTATAATTATAGCCATAATTTATTACGTAGTACTTTATTATTACGTAGTACTCCATATTACTTCTTAAAAATGTACGCACTTTTTAGTTGAGGAAATACTTAGTTGAACTAACGACATGGGGTAGCTCAATGATTTGCATGCTTGGGGATGCTCGTGTGTATTGTGTTCAAACAATCAAACCCCAAACGGCCACAAGCATCTTTTACTAAAAATCTTGGGTCATCGGGTTTGTCAAGTTTGGGATGTTCTGAGTCCAAACGGGCTAACGACTAATCCCGATTTTACTCACATTTACGTGTTTATGTCATACCAGATTGGATTCGGTGCAGGGTGAGTTGGGTGACCGGTTTTCGGCTCAAATCGCCTAGTTCAATCCCATTCTAGTAATATATGATATTATATTTTAGAAAACGAAGGGGGGTGTTGCCTGGCAAAAGAACATGTCTTTTATGCTCTCAGGCAACGTGATAACTGAATACTGCAAGATGTAAAACGAGCAGGTGCTGTAATACAAAAATACCATAACGCATCTAACCCAATTAATAAGAAGGAAACAAAAAATGTGGCTTCGGTAGAGTCACAAAAGATGTGAGAGTTTGAAAGTGATCACATATTCACACAGTAAGCAATAGAGAAGAATAGTTAATTAAAAGTTGAAACATCGTGCCACTTCACGATTCAACAGCCTCTGTTAGTCTGATATCTCAATGATCTCATGCTTGACGGCTGTGTCACTTCCCTGATGATGCGTCTCTGCCATGACTGACTCACACATGCTCTTCAGCTCTTTCATCTTTTCCTCAAACTTGCCAGCATCCCTGAGTAGGTCATTCCATTCCAACCATTGAACCGTCGTCTCAATTGTATTCTTCAATTTTATCCTGGCCGCCTTCGTCTGAACCCTCCTTCCACAACGCCTCGCTTGGTGAATGTAACTCTCCAGAGCATTTTTAGCCTCAATTGCCTTCTTGCGTTCCTCGTCTTGAGCCCTGTAATCCTCTGCCTCCTTCACCATCCTATCAATCTCCTCCTTTGACAACCTCCCGCTGTGATTGGTTATTGTTATTTGGTTACTGTTGTTACTACCCACTAGTTCTGTAGTCACAGTTAGTATGCCATTTGCATCAATCTCGAAACTATCAATGAACTTCGCAACACCTGCAGGTGCGGGGGGGATGCCTTCAATGGAAAATTCACCAAGGAAGTTGTTGTCTTTTGCTATGGGCATCTCTCCCTCATACACCTGGATGGTACACCTGGTTTGGTAGTCAACAACAAAGGTAAGGTCGTTCCTTGTCATCTTTGTAGGGATGGTCGTATTCCTTGGAATCACAACCAACATGCCACCATCATAAACCTCAATACCAAGAGATAAAGGACAAACGTCCACAAGTACAGTATCCTTATTCTTGCCCAGGCAAGCATTTGTCAGGGCTGCAGCGTGAAAAGCTGCACCATAGGCAACAGCCTCATCCGGGCTTATATTTTTGCAGAGCTGCTTTCCATGGAATAAGTCTTGCAACAATTCCTGAACTTTTGGGATTCTTGTAGACCCGCCCACAAGTACAATATCATGGATGTCAACCTTGTCCATTTTGGCATCCTTTAAACATTTCTCAACACTCGCCATACAATCTTCGAACAGATCCAAATTCATTTTCTCAAATCGTGCACGGGTAATGGTCGAAGAGAAATCAGTACCATCAAACAAAGACTCAATATTGATAAATGTTTCAGAAGCTGAAGAGAGCATTCTTTTGGCTCTTTCACAGGCTGTTTTAAGTCGCGAAAGAGCCCTTGGATTGTTACTGATGTCTTTATGGTGCTTCCTCTCAAACTCTGCTGCAAAGTGGCTCACCATTCTGTTGTTGAAATCAACTCCGCCAAGGTGAGTGTCCCCGTTAACGGCTTTAACTTCAATTACATCCTTGACCATTGTCACAATAGAGATATCAAAAGTTCCCCCACCAAGATCAAAAACCAGTATATTCTTTAAATCGGAATTAGCAATTCCAGTTCCTTTATTGTGTAGACCATATGCAAATGCAGCAGCAGTGGGCTCATTAATAATACGCAACACATTAAGTCCAGCAATAAGACCTGCATCTTTCGTTGAGTTACGTTGGAGATCATTGAAGTAGGCAGGAACAGTAATAACGGCATTTTTCACTTGTTTGAAGATATCTCCTCCGCGCTGAAGTGTTTTTCCTCCCCCTTGTAAGTGACAACTATCATGGGCTTCTTTCCGACCCCAGCATCAGGGACAACAGTCAATTTAAATGGCCAGTGTTTCATGTCGTTTTGCACCATTGCATCACGAAAAGTTCTACCAATTAGCCTCTTCACTTCTGTCATGCATACACAACAAAAAATAGATGTTTAGCGACCCACCAAGATATACTCTTACACCCAAAACCTGTTTCACCCCGAAATTTGACAGTATTTCGTACATCGATAAAAACTAACTAATTGCTAACTTATGTAATATAGGGACATAAGGCAGTGAGCATTGCTTGCTATTTATGGTGACATTGTTTTATGAAGTTGTAGAATCAGTCATACAGGCTCATTTATCAAAGACACAGGTGTGAAGTTTAATGGGTAAGCACCTATTTTTCATTTGTAAATTTAAGGCAGGCTTACAAGTTAATTTTCAAACATTTAGATTTTAATTAAAGTGCATAAAGCTTGTATAAACCTTTATCTAGTCATTACTAGAAACTGTTGACGTATGTATTGTAACATGCGCCATTTAAATATTTGTATGGTATTCGTGCAGTGCCCAGTTCCCACACATGCTGCTAAAGTTTATATCAGTTGTGACCTCATTATGGGGGAGATGGTAAATGACTGACTCCATTCGTTAATTGTTACACAAATAAGTAGGATAAAATTACAAATTTGTGTGTGTGATCTCTTTAAATGTAGGCCAACATTTTCAAATGTTATATACTATTGGTCCTCTCTAACAAACCAGTACTAAAAAATTAATGTAATAAGGAGTACTTGAGCGGAAGAAAAAGGATAAGGTGTTCTTTAAAATCCCACATAAAGCTTTTAGCATATATGCCTTTCAGCATATTAAATTGCACCTTAATAGGTATCCGGTTGGTTTGTTTTTTAATAGCCACGAGACAAATTAGATCATCAAGGAAGAATAAGTACCGCTAGAGAAATCATTACATATTCATGCTGCATCTATATATGCATGATGCATCCATATATGGGTCATTGGAAATTCGTCTAGTAAAAAATACCGATACCAATACGAAATTATGGTCATTTACTAGTACAAGTTTCTTCATTTTAGACTCTATCTTTGACTAGTAAATTGTATTTTCAAACCGAATTGTTATATTACAGAAAAAACCCACTGTGAGTTTTTCTCGGTGTTTTATTTAAAGAAAAACAGAGAAACCTACCGAAGATGGTGTTGGAGAGATTCATAGCGGCCTGGTTCTGGGCAGATTCTCCGATAAGGCGCTCGGCATCAGTAAACGCAACCCACGACGGCGTCGTACGGTTGCCTAAATCGTTGGGGATGATCTCAACGCGGCCATGGTGGGGCTGCCATACTCCGACGCAAGAGTATGTGGTCCCCAGATCGATCCCTATCGCCGGACTTTCTTCTTCTTCTCCGGCGGCAGTTGCTCTGCTTCCGTTCTCTTCCATTTCCCGACTTCTCTTCATTATGTGATTACTTGAAAGTTGTAATGTTTGAGCTGACGGTGCAGTAGAGCTAAGCCTGCGGAAAAACAGTCAGTCTGGGGTTGCTTGGCAGTTACTGGACGATTCCTTTCACGGTTCCCATTGCTCGTTTAGTCTTTTCAACTGCCCAAGATATGCCGCCGATCTTGTATAGAACGTGTACTTCGTCCCACACTCCCACTTGCTATCTTCAAATAAAGTTTTTTTGGTAATCCTATTATCTCCTTATAATCTTATACTCGTATTGATCGATACTACCGGAGTTATGAGACTAGGCCAGAGCCTAATCAGCCCAAATCCCGAACTTGGACCCGTTGATCTAAGAGCACAACTTGGATCCTGCCATCTAGTCTAGCGGGGAGCCTGTTAGTCCGGCCGACCTTCAAACTAGGAAAAGTAACGGTCAAACAATTAATGCGTTGTTTAATTATGTATTTCATCCCGTATTAATGTTGTAATTAATTAGTCATTATTATCGATAGCAGTTACGATTTGTATATGCCTATAAAAGGTTGGATGTAATTCAGATTAGGGGGAAGTAATTTGCATGTGCAAGAGGTCGACCACACCTGGGAGCGTGCACAATAGCTAGGAAAGGTCTTCCTCCAGGGGTACTTCTGGCCGACGATAATGAGAGATTGTGCCGACTATCCAAGGAGGTGTGAGACATGTCAGAAGTTCCAAAAGAGCCTCGGCCGGCCAGTAACAATGTACACACCAATCAGCACCGCCCTTCCATTCACGAGATGAGGCGTCGACCTGGTCGGTCCCTTGCCAACCGGGTCGGGAAACCGGAAGTTTGTAATTAGTGATGGCAACGGGGCGGATCGGGGACGGGTACACGTAAAACCGAAACCGCCCCGTTGGATAAATGTTTGCCCCATAACCGTCCCATTACCCGTTCGGGTAATTTTTATTTGAACCACATATTTTTTAAAAAAGGGGAAATGCGACACTTATTTTGGAACAACCCAAAAAGAATAATGAAAGAGATAACATGAGAATATCTATTGAAAATAAGATACTACTCCGTATTATCATTATGAGAATCTATCTATTCTAAGCAAGTATTTTAATTTTACATGTGGTTGAGCTTTAGTTACTTAGAGCATCTCCAATGCAAAACTTTTAACATTGAAAAAATTATGACACATGTCAATTAATGTGTGGTATGTCTATCCACATGGGATGAATGTCAAAACCCAAATAATGAAATCCTCAAAAACCTCTCCAATGCATCTTGGTTGACGTCCACACTTTTAATTAGAATTCAATTAACCATGCTTATCTTCAGGAGATTCTACAAGAAACCATGCCCTATTCTCAATTTGTTAAATAATTCATTTATAGAATAATTAACTTTAAATATTTCTTTTAATGTGCAGGTCATCCTCTAGCAGTCTAGCGTCAATCGTTTCATCTCAGCAAATACTTCTAGGGAGGTTAAAAGCCGCTACTGAATCGAGCAAGGTTAGGGGAAAAGGGTTGAGTATGATAAATGGCAAGTTGCTTGAAGAGGATTTGCATCAGGATGTAGAATATAGTTGAGGCGCTGGTTTTTAGGAGATGAGCATCATTTTTCTCCGAAATTTCCGAAAATGCGGCACTTCATACCCACGATCAGTTTATTTGATGACTCAGCATGTTTAACAGACCGTTTAGAATGAGAAAGTGGGATTCACAGCGTTAACATTTATTTTTGACACTTCAGCACCACATGACCGAAGAAAGAAAGCATTGGAGTAGAAAAATAAGAGCCTCTTTCTTACCGTGTGACATGGCCATCTTTTTTTAATGTTAACACCAATGCATTGAAGATGCTCTTAGATTGAAAATTAACATACGTGTCAACTACTTATATTCTTATGAGAATCAAAATTAATTACCATCATCATCATTGTCATTATTATTGCTATTATTTTTAGATAGTGTGTGTCTAATAAAATGGAGAACAATTTTGTTCACCCCCTCAAATGAGGGTGAACATCACCCCCACCCTATTAGGCTGCCACATGGCATGACAATTCTTTAAAATTTGGCAATTGTTATAACTTTTTCATTTTTGGTGCAATTTTTTCAAAAAATAAATCAATATTTTTAATTTTTTATGATCTTTCATATGGTATCAATATTACATATGTAAAATTAAAAAAAAAATCCTGTTAAAAATAGACTTAAGAAAAAAACATTTTTTTGTTTAATTTTTTTTGTATGCAATATGGATATCATTGGAAAGATCATAAAGAGTTATTAAATCTGATGTATTTTTTTGTGAAAATCATATTAGAAATTAAAAAGTTATAATAAATTTAAGGAAAAAAAGAAATATAATGCCAAACGGCATGCATTAAATACAAGAGAAGACCGGGCTTTCTTTAAATTTTCTGCCATTTTCTTTAAATACGTTCGGTACAATGGTTGGAGCATTGGAAAGGTGTTCTGTGGACAATACACTGTAACCAAAATTTGGTAGATGTGTGAAAAAGCTTCTTAAACATATCTCATTTAGGATGTTTATACTTGGATTGAAATTTTCTGGTCTGATCTGATCCGGTTGGGTTTGGAATACGTTTGGTCTCTATATATTTTATAATTGTTCAAGTCTGGTCTGATTTGATCGCTCTGGTTTACGATTCATCTAGTCCAAGAAAAAACATACAAACAATATTCAAACCTCCCTCCCTCCCTAAAATTATACTCACGTAAATAAATGGGCTACAATTGTTGATGTTATCTTCGTCTCTAAAAAGAGTTCTCATTTTCCTTTTATAGCTGTTTCAAAGAGAATTTCTTATTTCTATAAAAGAAAACCAATTTTACTCACTTTTTCTTGATTTGATACAAAGTAACGATATAGTATTTGGAAAGTTAAAATAAAATTCTACCTTACATAAATATGTGTGTAGGTCAAACCGGAAACTTCATTTCGGGACGGAGATAGTATTTCTTAATTGATATAATTTGACTTTGCACCTCATTTTTTGAATAAAATTTGACTTTGCACCCTGTTTTTATAATTATTAGTGTATACACTCCAATTTACTATAAAATCATTTGACTTTACAACTCACTTGTTCAAAAAAAGATTTGTTAAGGATTGAGCAGAGGAGAGAATTAATCAACCATAAATTAATTGACTAAAAAAGAAAATAACAAAATTTTTGGAACAATCCAAAAGAAAATGTGACAAAGTTTTAAAAGACGGTCATATAAATATCAACATTTGGAGTTCACATAATGTAAAAAAAAAAAAAAAGATAAAAGGAAAAGACTCGAATAGAATAGATCATGTAAGTATTTCAAATCTATCATTTAATAATAAAAACATTATTGATGGAGTTTAATTCAACTACGAGAGCTTAATTCCACGAAAGATATGAAAATATGGCAGGGTAAGGCATTATTCTTATTATTACTCAGAAGAAGGAATGATCCATCGGATCCCTTGGTAGGGAATTTACAGGAAATATTTATAGACTTGAGAGTTAATATTCTAGAAGGAAACTAATACAATAAATGTTATTTAATGATATTCTATTCGAATCAGTCTCCTGTAACGTCTTGGACGTTACACAACGATCATCTTTTCAAGTCCACGTCTTCCTGCTGAGTCCTGTCTGCTGTCAAATAGCTATGCTTAAATGATAGTTTGCCACGTAAACCCTAGGAATATCTCAGCCTCACTAGAACTCCGCCCAGGCTCGAGGTATGCTGTCCAGCTCGGCCTGGCTGTGGGTTCCTATCGTGGGCCTGATTCTTAACTGGGCACAGTGGCTTATTTAATATTAATCCCGATCAGGGCTTGATCCCGTTTATGGGCTAATCCTGTTAATTAGGCTGATCCCGTTATGGACTGATCCCGTTATGGGCTAATCCCGTTTATAGGCTAATCCTATTAATTAGGCTAATCCCGTTAAGGGTTGATCCCGTTTATAGGCTAATCCTGTTAATTAGGCTAATCCCGTTAAGGGTTGATCCCGTTTATGGGCTGGGTTATGTAATTAGGCCATGGTTAGAATCCATGTACCATCAATTATAATACAAGTATACTTATTAGAAGGTGACAAATTCATTACCTTTTAAAAAAATGGGATACCATACCTACCATTCATGTGATTGGACCACATCACTTTATCTTTTTAATTTAGATTTAAATAATTCAACTGCAACATCTTCATTGGTCCATGTGGACAAAGATATGATACCTTATAGGTACCATATAATCTACCTAATTAGAAAGGTATGATAGTCATGTTGACCTGCTATAACGAGTCATTCAAAAAATACGAAAAATTGATAAACCTGATAAAAATTCATATGAATTTTTAAATTATCGAAATAAAAATATAAAAAATAGTAAAAAATGTTGAAATAGATGACAACTTTAAAATGTTAAAATATAATCACGAATAAAAAAACAATGAAATGAAAATTTAAAAAATTAAAATTAAAATGTAAATGTTTTTAAAAAAAATGCAGAATATAGGAATAATTCCCAAAAATAAAAAATATAGATTTTTTCCAATTCATTCACATTTGAACAATTTATTAAATTTTATTAGATAACATTCATATCTTATTTTTATATTATCCCTTTTTATCTTACTTTATTTATATTTTATTATTTTTCAATATCGTGGATCGATTCATGATAGTTGATTCCAAAATCTTTTGAGAATAAAACATGAATGTTGTTGTATTAAAGGTTTCAAAAAGTAACGTGCTAAAACACCTTAAAAACGTTATATTCTCAGATGTATTCGTTTATTAAAAGCAAACGAACTTATATAAAACTTTTAAACGTTTAAATGATGGTTATAAATAGTAGACCTGTACAAAACCGGCCCGGCCCGCCCGGCCTGCCCAGCCCGCCCGCACAAATTAGCGGGCTTGGGCATATATATTTACCCACCGGCCCGGCCCGTGCCCGGCCCGCAACAACATATGGGCGGGCTTGGGTTAGGGTGTAGGCCCGTTCGGGCCGATAAGCCCGGCCCGCTACATTTAGTATATACACATATATATTTTTATATATACTAGTTTATGTATTTATTTACATGTACACATGTATATTTTTATATTTACTTATTTATCTGTATACATATTTATAGTTTATTATGTTTAAATTTAAGTTTTTAGTTCTTAACAAATAGTTCAACCAATATAATATCTATTTTTGTACTTAACGATAATACTTTGTGCATGAATTTTAAATTTTAGATATAGTTTCTCATTATTATTTTTGTGTAAATATTTTTTGTGTATGTGATGAAAGGCCTATATACATTATAAGCGTATTAGCAATTTTTTAAATGTTGTAATATTATTTATAAAGTATTAAATAAATTATATAATTTTGAAAAATTTAAAGTCTTCCCGGGCCCGGCGGCCCGGTGGACTACCCGGCCCGCTCTTACGGGCGGGTATGGACATGGGGTTAGGCCCGTTTTTGCGGGCCGGGCCGGGCCCGCCCACACACGATGGGCAAAAAACTTATGAAAAGCCCGGCCCGAGCCCGGCCCGAACCCGCTTTTGTGCAGGTCTAATAAATAGTAGCTAGGATGACTTTTTTACTTAATACGAAAATGAAGTCGAAACACTAATTTTAGTTAAACTTTTTAAACTTTTCAAATATTAATATGGTAACTGATGCAAAAAATATTAATATGGTAACTGCGGTTTTCTAAATTTGAACAATTGGTAATTTAATCGTGTGGATTTTTCATTACCTTGCGTGTGTTATTTGTTACAGACTTACAGTAAGTTTACAATCCAGAAAATCTATATTGGGAATGCGTTCTTCGTCCTTGTTTAATTTACAATACAGTAAGTTTATCTTATTCCAAATACTCCTCTAAACTTTTCTTAATGTTCACACATATGGCTCACAAATCAGTCGCAGTTCACAAAGTGGGGCCTTGGTTATCTTAGTCTAATATGGAATTAAATAAGGAAGGAAGATTCTCAGCTGCTGGCAAAGAAGTAATCAAACTTATACCAGAATTGAAAATACATGCATGTCTAAATGTCTAATACCAAAAGGTCCAAGAATTACTCCAAGATACGTATGCCGAGATCTCTCCCATGTGTAGGCATATTCAAGCCCCATCTTGTTCAATTTGTTTTCAAAAGAGTAGGAAACTTGTCTTGGTGCTTGCTACAAATTTTATGAAAGCAAAACCAAATAGGGGAAAGAGTTTTGAATGTATTCAGAACTCTTTGCAAAAATAAAAATCAAATGGAAACATGGAAAGGTGAAGGACTTCACACGTAGAAAATAAAATATACATGTAATCAGGAACGACAGATTGAATAACAGGTTGTTAATAACTACATTATTTTGAGATTCAATACCCAGTTGACTCTCTAAATACATGAATGACAAGAAAGTTAGAGTCTACATTTCTTTTTTCTTCTTTCATTGAAGCATATAAAAAGAATATGCCCTCTTCTGCTTCATGCAGCAGTTAAGAAACATTCCCCAGAAGAGATGCTTGAAAAAGCTAAAGAACACATAAAAATTCCAGCAAAAAAAAGACACATTAAGATGCTTCAGCTACCAAGGGATTAAAAGAAAATGCAAAACTCTGGGACTAGTGGAAGCCAAAATAAAATAAAGCATGTAAATCATCCATACAGATAAGTGAATCATCGGATTTACATGTGTAAATTATCCAATGTGTAAATGATCTCAGACTTTACACATGTGTTACTTCCCTGAAGCTGCATCTTTATTATGACAGACTCACATAATGTCTTGAGTTCTTTCATCTTTTCCTCAAACTTGGAAGCTTCACCTAGTAGGTAATTCCACTCTAACCATTGTTCCGCCTTCTCAACTGCATCCTTCAAAATTATCATCTTCTTCACGCTAACACCTTTTCGACAGCTTCTCAAAGTATCCCTCACATAGTGAATATAATTCTCTAAAATATTTTTAGCTTTTGATGCCTTCTTGAGCTCCTCATCTTGAGCCTTGTACACTTCTGCCTCTTTTACCATCCGATCAATCTCCTCCTTTGACGGCCTCCCGTTGTGATTGGTAATAGTAATTTGGTTCTTGTTCTTACTTCCCACTAGTTCTGCAGACACAGTCAAGATGCCATTGGTATCAATTTCAAAATGGACATCATACCTAGCGACACCTTTGGGTTCTGGAGGAATGCCATTAAGGAAAAATTCACCTAGGAAGTGGTTGTACTTTGCTAAGGGCCTCTCTCCCTCATACACAATGAAACAACACCTTGTTGCATAGTCAACTGCATTTTGGTAATTTTTCTTTGTTATCTTTGTAGGGATGGGGGTATTCCTTGGAACCACAATAGACATATCACCACCATTAGTTTCAATACCAAGAGACAAAGGAGCAACATCCACCAGCACAACATCATTATTCAGACCGAAAGCAGCACCGGTCAGGGATGCAGCATGAAACGCTGCTCCATAAGCAACAGCCTCATCTGGGTTTATGCTTTTGCAGAGCTTCTTTCCATTGAAAAGTTCTTGTAACAATTCCTCAACCTTTGGTATTCGGGTAGACCCACCCACAAGAACAATATCATGAATGTCACTCTTCATCATTTTGGCATCCTTCAAACACTTCTCAACTGGGTCCATGCAATCCTTAAACAGATCCAAATTCATTTTTTCAAATCGTGCACGGGTGATGATCGAAGAGAAATCGATGCCCTCAAAGAGGCATTCTATGTCAATAGACGTTTCAGTAGCTGCAGATAAATTTCTCTTGGCCCTTTCGCAAGCTGCTCTCAGCCGCCCAAGAGCCCTAGGACTTGTACTTATGTCTTTTTTGTGTTTTCTCTCAAACTCAGCTACAAAGTGACTCACCATTCTGTTATTGAAATCTCCTCCACCAAGGTGAGTGTCCCCATTAACTGCTTTGACTTCGAACACATCCTTCTCTATTGTGACAATGGAGACATCAAAAGTGCCACCCCCAAGATCAAAAACCAATATGTTCTTCCGACCAGAATCACCAATCCCAGTTCCTACTTTCTTGTCAAGACCATAGGCAATTGCAGCAGCTGTGGGCTCATTAATGATACGCAACACATTAAGTCCAGCAATGACACCTGCATCTTTTGTTGATTGGCGCTGGGCATCATTGAAGTATGCAGGAACAGTAATAACAGCATTTTTAACTTGTTTGCCTAGGTAAGCCTCTGCAATAGTCTTCATCTTTTGGAGGACCATAGAAGATATCTCTTCAGCAGAAAATTGCTTGTCTTCACCCTTGTACGTCACGGCTATCATAGGTTTTGCTCCATTGCCACCATCAGGTCCAGCTATGACTTTAAACGGCCAAAGATTTAAGTCACTTTGCACTGCAGCATCACCAATTTTTCTACCTATCAGCCTCTTCACATCTGTCATTCTCCCAAAACAAACAATAAATGTATAATAAGATGCCTCAAAATTGTGTACCATCCCAATCATGTTCCATTCCAAAACTTGACGTGGTGTTTGGTACACATTGCAAAAATTTATTAACAAGACCAGTAATTTAAAGAGAACTCAAGATAGTGACATTGCTTTGAGAATTAACCTAACATGGGTTCAAAGTTGCAACGTGGTGGAATACAATGTTCGACTATTTTGTTCACACACAGTTTTCCTTTATCAACGACAAGGTTGTTGTTCAGTGGCTCAGCAGCCAAGTATGCATTTTAATGTTTCAGAAAGGCAAACAAGCTAATATTGAAAATATATACGGTTAAAGAGAATTACAAGCCATGTCATATGTCAGCTTAAATTAGCAACAAAAAATTAACGGCATACCATATGTTCATTAATTAGCTTCCATGTATATATTTGTATCATCATCCATTTTTAATCATCAGATAACATTTTCTCCCTTCGCTGTTCCTTTCTCACCTTTATAATCATCTCCCCTTACGTGTGCAAACTATACAAATTCTCCCTTTTGTGCAATTTACAAAATTGGTATCTTTCCTATTCTTGATTGGGATGGATTTTACGCAAAAGAAGTCAGATGAGGCATCAGATAAGTACAACAGAATCATAAAGCTTGCAACTTTCCTAGATTTTGTACATGTTGGCTAGTGTATTTGGTAAAATCCGTATGCATAAAAGTTTCTGCTTTCCTATGAACCAAATATAATTAGCAAATGCAATACACTGTCTTAAAAAAAGTTTATTGTTACCGCTAAGATTAAAGAGAGTGGCACAAAGGGTGTGGTCAACTACAATACAAAACTTGGTAGAGCGATATTTTCCAGTTATTCTAAAAATATAAGGAGTTCAAAGTTCAAACCAAAGATGGTATTGGAGGGATTCATTGCGGCCTGGTTCTGGGCAGATTCGCCAATAAGACGTTGGGTATTGGTGAAGGCAACCCATGACGGCGTAGTACGGTTTCCTAAATCGTTGGCGATGATCTCAACACGGTCGTGTTGTGGGCGCCAAACTCCAACGCAAGAGTATGTGGTTCCGAGATCGATACCAATTGCCGGACCTTCTTCTTCTTCAGTTGCTCTTCTTCCAATGTCTTCCATTTTCTTCGGTTTTTCTTTCTCTGAGGACTTGAAGTTTTGATTTGAGAGCGGAGAGCTTCTTTTGCCTTTGCCTTTACTCGGCTAGTTGACTACTGGACTGTGCCCTAGTAGTTGGCAAATTCTCAAAAAAGAATGTCTATTGTCAACCTCAGTTCTTCCTTAATTGTTTCGTAACTTTCCACTTTAGTCTTTATTACTCCGTAGTAAGCAAATTATCAATGATTAGGAGTTAGGACACTTCATTCCATGTTTATACTTACTTTATAGCCGTTGTGTTATTCCTTCAAGTGGTTAAACTAATCAGTAATCACTGCTCCTTTGATCATATTCTTTCTTACTTACTATTATGCGTATTTATTTTTCAAGGACCATAAATTTATTGTTAGAAACCAAGAGCCCGTTTGGTAGCACGAAAATCGGCTGATTTGGTTGATTCTGTTGAAACTTATGAAGTTCTGACTGCATTGGTTTATTCTGTTGATTTAAAAAATTTATTTTTAATATATATATATATATTTTTTATTAATATTATAAAGAAAAAATTATATGTAAAATTTCTAAAATGATCATCTACAGTAACGTCATCCAATACAGCCAGAAACGTAACTTCAACCTTACTTTTTCTGCTCGTTACACAATTCAGCTCGCAAAAGCAAAAGTTACGTGTTTGGTGAAAAAATTGACTAATAAGCCTGATAAGCCGAAAAATACTGTTGTCAAACAACCTCTAAATAATGTAAATGAATAATTATATAACTAATTATATAATCCATCTCACAACCCTATAGATGTGTAAGTGCTTAATATAATGAAATATTATTAAGTGCTCAAAATCATTTCTAACTCTTGAAAACAACTCTCTAGGGTTTCGACCGCTAGAGGCGCTCGTCCGTTATCGATCTCGGTCGAGGAGCGGGTGTTCTTCTCCGGCTTTGCTGCCGGTGGTTTGTGGAAGCAATTGAAGGAAGAGTCAGCATTGGAGTCGGGCGAGTTTCGAAAATCGTAGGCGGTTTGGTTCGTCGCGATCGAAGGAAGGGGAGATTGACGTTTTTTGGTTCGTAGTCGGCAGTGTCAAAGTTCGTGATGGTTTTGACCGCTATGGACTCGGTTGTAATCGAAGGCGGTTTCGAACAAGAAGGGGAGCAGTTGCATGGAACAAGTTGTTGATCAATATAAGAAGATGAACATCGGTGAGGATCGGAGGTTGAGGAGCTGGATATAGATGATGGCGACCTGGATGATGTTCCAGCAGAGGAGGTTTGGTCGACCTACCCGGTGGTCGGAGTTTTGCTTACAGACAGGAAAATCAAATCCCCAATGTTCAAAGAGCTTATGGAATCGTTGTGGAGGCCGGGGAAGGGTGTCGCGATCAAAGAAGTCAGTGATAAGAGGTATCTCTTTACTTTAATTTGTATCATCATGTTGATATGAAACGTGTGCTTGATGGCGGTCCATGGCAGTTTGAAAGGAATCTGTTGATTTTGAAAGAAATTAAACCAAATGATATCCCGCATAAGATCTGTTTGAATAAGGTTGAGTTTTGGGTGCAAGTGCACAATGTCCCGTATAGTTTTATAAATTTAGGTACAGCCAGACGGGTGGGTAATTTTATTGGAAATTTCATTAGTTATGTTGATAAATAGTTTGGAAAAAAGTGGGAATCCTACCTGCGCGTTAGGGTCTGTATAAATGTGGAAAAGCCCCTGAAAAAGGGCACTACTCTTAAGAAAGGGGGTATCGGGCATTGGGTGGATTTTAAGTATGAGCGGCTGCCAAATTTTTGTTTTGCCTGCGGAATCATAGGTCACTCTGAGAAATTCTGTTCGTCGGCGTATGAAGAAAATTTAGTGCTGGAAAAAGGTATGGAGTTCAACTCAGAGCTGGTAGTGAGGTGAAGACTAATTCTACAGGAGGGAGTAAATGGCTGGTAGATGGGTCCTCAAGCTCGAGTCGGGATCCTCAAAACAAGGAGGATAACAAATCAGACGGAAGTTTGGGAGGAGGAGGGAAGGATTACACGACAGGATCAGTGAGTAGCTCGACCAAAGACGTGGTATTAGGAGATAATGAGGAGACATTTGGGGAACAAAAACGCAGGCGCATTTGACAGACGGTGGAAAACGGGATGTAGGTGGGAGATAGTATGACATTGGATGAGACAAAAAACGGGGAGGAGGCGGGCTTAGAGGGGTAAGCCCGCCATCTTCAACGTTGCAGAGGTCAGCGCCAGGGATTTGGAAAATGGTGGTTCTTGGAAGGCTGAGTGAAGAAATTTATTCTTTTGCTTTTATTTATTTTAATGGTCTGAATTTATCTGTTTTGTTTGTTTTTTTTATCTCTTTTGGATGTAAGACTGTAATTTTGGATTTGGATGTGGGTGATTGAATGACTGCGGTAACCGTTTTTGACTCATTTGTGCCCATTAATGGATCAACGTTATACTTCCTCCGTTCTTAAATAAATGCAACGGTCAACATTTCACATTTGCCGAGACACAACTTTGACCATTAATATATATAAATTTATATTAGTAAAAAAATTAAAAAAATTAGATATTGAAAATTTACAATGAGACAAATTTAACAATATATTTTTCATAAAAATATATTCATACATTAATAAATAAAACGTAGTCAAAGTAGACCATGTGAATAGTGTAAAATTTCATATGTTGCATTTATTTAAGAACGGAGGTAGTATATTACTTCTGCTGAGGTGATAAAATCTGAGTCTGGTTCAAGGGACGGCGATTGTCATGAGTGTTTTTGTCGGATTACCTACTATCTAAATGATGTGTTATCAATTTAAGTCTATTTCTTCCACACACAAAAATTATGAAATATTATTAATTGAAACAGCGCAAATATACGCGTTTGTGTCTATTTTTATGTTTTTGTATATCTGTAACTAATATTTTATGCGTTTTTTGAATTGAACTTATGTTCTATTGGGGGGCAGGAGGTGGGCCGCAGGGGCCACAAGCCAAAAAATTGAAAAAAGTTTAGGTCCGAATTTATAATTTATAATATGTGTGAGTAGGCCGAATTTTTAACCCTAAATTAATAGTTTTGTCCAACCCAGCTAACCGGCCCAAGTGCCCAACGACGTAAGAACACAAAAAAGGTGAGGCCTAAGTAAATCGAGCGTTATGGAGATAACTAGATTTTTCACCCGTGCGTTGCACGGGATGCGATTCATAATTCTTAAATTGTAGGAAAATAATCAAATAACTATTTTTATTATTTTCAATCTTTTAGTTAAACCCCTATACTAAAAAATGTATCATAATATGTTCGCTTGTTTTAAAAAATTGATCAGTCCAACCAATTAATCCATTTTTGTCTAGTAATAGCAATTTTTTATTTTACAAAACTCTTTAAAAATGTTAAAATTCAAAGCAACGAAAGTTTTCCACCTATTTTATTAGAATTTTCGTCATCGTCTTTAAAAGCAATTTTTTATTTTACAAAACTCTTTAAAAATGTTAAAATTCAAAGCAACGAAAAGTTCAAATCCCATTTTCGTCATCGTCTTTACCCCAGTGTCGCAAAGACTCCCACCTATGGTGTGATTAGGGGGGTCAGAGACTCAGAGTCTTACTCATGTACTAAAACACAGAGAGACTGTTTCAGGATGAGTATGACACATGATGAAATTCATGTACGAAGTAGTAAAATGCATAAACTGATTGTTGCTTCATTACAAAAAAACGCAGACAATTTAGTGAGTCATTTTGCTTTATTTCGTCATATTCCAAACCAAAAAATAGTGAATCTTTATCTCCAAAAATGATGGAAAGGAACTCCAAAAAAGTAAAAGAGAAAAAACAGCCATAAAAATACTTCATTCATTTATAGTACTAAAAGGGATAATATACAATCATCATATATTAAGGGGTAAGTATTCATTATAATAACACAAAAGTAATACGGAGTAACATTTAACTTTAAAGTGTACTCATAAAAATAAGTACAGTTTACAACTGACATTAAAAATATATTATACCCACACAGTAGAAAGTCATTTGATAAATCATTCTTTAATGTCCAGGGTGGTTGTCTTGATCGGTTAGTAAAACCATGCACTCCAACCATGCCTGCACCTTGAAATACATATATACTTCATAAGTAAAAAGAGTAGATGTATAAATAGAGGATATCATCTTGAGAAGGAGCATGAAATGCCTAGCTATATTAACACAACTTAAAATCTTTATAGATGTAACATGAATTGCGTAGATAGATGATAAGTTTTCACTTTTTAGTGCTCATAGAGTAACCTTCCTTCAATTAAAATGCCAATTTCTATGATAAAAGAAATATTGGAGTACGAAGAGTTGTTAAAAAAGCAGGATGAACTTGGTTTAAATTAAAAACACTTTTTCATCACTTAAGAAGATATAATTGAAAATTAAATAAAAAGAAATTAATTTGAAGCAAATGCACCTTTATGAAGATCCAGTTGCGATCAAGAAAACTTCAAGTTAGTATGATATAGTATAGTGACTATGATGTAAACTTTGAATACAATTATAGTCAATTGCGATCAAGAAAACTTCAAGTTAGTATGATATAGTATAGTAACTGATGTAAACTTTGAATACAATTATAGTCAGTTTGGTTCACAGAGTACCTCCAACACCAATTCAAAGGTAAATATATCATTACCAATTTAACAAAATTCGCTATATATTCACAAAATCAAAAGTGGGGCTGCTAAGTGCAAAATTTCCATCAGATTACACTTTGAGATTATTTGTATGAAAGTAATGTTGTCTAGAACCAAGGCATGTGAACTTGTGAAGTGATCTACAATCCTTTGGAATTTAAATCATGATGCTTTAAACCTGGTTAGCTCTACTATGTTTGATTAGTTCTATGCATATTTGAACATTGCCTATTCTTGGCCTCCATTTCATACGACTTTATAGATTCAGGTATGAAAATTCATTTTCAACATTCTATGCTTCAATATTCTATGTTTGATTGTTTCAGAGAATTCGTAATCATCATTTTCAGCTCATTTTTTAACTTTTGTTTAATTTTTGAGATGTTGGTAGCTCTTGGGGATCTGAAGTAGCCGAAGAGCATATATATGTGAACTTATTACTTTAAAAGGTGATATGAATGATACTTTGTCAAAGTTAATTTTTATTATGTCAATATTTTCGGATTATGTTGCTGTGAG